AAGGCCTCCTGGAAGGTTAACCCACGCCCAGGCGAGAGCCCCAGTGACTAGCGGGAAAGCCAGGAATGGCTAGATGCAGCGCTGGGGCCCCTGCGGGGAAGAGCTCGGTCCTGGCCCGGTGTCTGCCTCTAACCCCGCTGCCGTATCATGGGCAAGTGACTTCCCACTCAGGGCCTCAGTATCCTCGTCCTAAAACTAGAGCCTTGACTGTGATGACGGCTGTGGGTTCCTTCCAGTTTTAAGGTTCTTTGGCCAGTACCCAGACGATTCTTGGAGAGACACTAGAACTGAGCTGAGCTGAGTGGCAGGCAGTAACTAACCTGGTTAGGTGCTTTACACTAGCGGCAAAGTGGCCAAGGTGGGAATGTCACCTCTCCCCTCACAGAGATGTTCAGTCACTCCTCTGGACTTACATTTTTTTAAAAGAGAGAGAGAGAAATGACATTATAAAAGAATTTGTGGAAAGAAATGAAACTGGAAATAAAAGAGGGGGATTCATTGGTATTCGGGGAGGGGAGTGGAAGCCTACACTGCCTTGTTTGATGATTTATTTTTGCAAATGTGTAATCAATGTGTAATCAATCTTACTGTGTTGAATAACATGTCCAGATTACATGTTACTGTAATGATGTATCGGATGGTCCCTGGGAATTGCAGCTTTTAGACCAACTGTAGTGACAAAGCAAATGTGAAACTAAACAAAGCCCACCCAGTCACCTGCCTGTCTCCCAGGCGTTCTCCCGCCCTCTTCCTTTCGGCTCTGGGCCCTGGTTGGTACTTGCTCTTTATGGGCTTCTTCCAGTTTCTGGAGGTAGTGGGTCTGGAGTGTAGTGATCCCTTCTCCAGAGTTTTATTTCCACACACTAAATATCTTCAAGTTCCATAGGCATTACTCAGGTACAAAGTAGAAACTTTAGACAAATTTGACCTCCCCTTCCCGCTGGCTTCTTCTTCACTCCATTAAGGGGCCCAGGACTTCTGCAGGGAATCCCTGCTTCCGTGCCCTTTGCTGTAACCCTCATGATGACCTCTGGCTCCTAGGGTCAGCCTGGTCCTCCCTCTGCAGCTGTAGGTCCACCTGCCTGCTCAAATCCAGCCCAAGCCCCAGGACTAACTCACAGCTGTTCTGACTTAAAACTCAAGCTCTCAGGGGATGCCTTAGAGTTGGTGGAGGTGGGGAGATGGAGAGGGATGAGGGAGATAAAGGGGGGGGAGATGGAGAGGGGTTGGGGGAGGGGGGATGGAGAAGAGGAATGGGGGAATGCAGAGGGGTGGAGAGATGGAGGAGGGTATGGAGAGGGTGGGGGATGAAGTGGGGGATGGAGAGAGCTGGGGCGTGGAGGAGGGGCTGGGGGATGGAGGCAAGGTATGAAGAGGGGTGGGGGGGGACAGAGAGGTGTGGAGTGGGGGGATGGAGGGAGGGGAAAATAGGAGGGAGAGGTGAGAAGGGGATAAAGAGAAATGGAAAGAAAATGAACTCTCACAAGGGCTAACTTCGCTTGTTCTTCCAGCCTGAGCTGACACAGCAGAAAAGGGGGTGTGTGGCGGAGGTGGCGAGGAAAGTCTAGTTAAAGCCCCATCTCGTTTTCCCAACTTCCGTTTTGGTTGGCTCAGGGCACAGCCATCCTCTCAAAGAGTTGTTTCAGAGGGAGGGGGTGCGGGCGGGAAAGGAATTTGGCTCCTTCAGTTTTCCATGGTCTTGCTCAACCCAGACATAAATTTGGCCAATAAACCTAACTCTGGAACTTGACTTCAACATGGCATTTTAGACGAGGCTTGGAATTGAAGCCAGCCCTCAAAGAAGCAAAGGCTGAATTCATTTTTATTTAGGTAATGCTTTTGCTTTCTTTTCCAGAAGCCTATTTTTTTTTTTGTCCCACATTGTCTCATTTCTTAATGACAGAATCCAAGGCTCCCTACATCTCAAACTGACTGTCTGACCAGCACAGAGGAGACCTCTCCGACACTGGCATCTATACTAGGGACCAGCTCATCAAACCTCATTCCCCACGAAAACGCCAGAAACAAAACCCACTACTTCCTCGACTCCTTCCACTCACCCCATTCACTGAGCTTTGACCAACAAATCACTCCTGTCTTTCATCTCCCTTAAGCCTCACACACATATCTCTTTTTTCCATATCGATCTCTGCGCCTGAACCGGCCAGAATGACATGCAGAGCCAGGCTCATTCTCAGCACCGGATTCTCGCTCTCAGCACTGGGTTTCTCTAGCCCACTCCCTCTTCTGTTGCTCAGCAACCGCCTAGCCAAACACCCGCTTCTCGTCCCCCCTTCCTCCCAGAGGCTTTGACTGCCTGCCACCTCACTCTCCTCTGCTCCCCACTTCTGATTCCAGAAATGCACCTTTTTTTTTTGTGTTTGGTTACATATAAATACATATAATGTAGTATATACCATAAATATGCATTAAATAGATATAATATGTCGTGTGTGTGTGTGTGTGTGTGTGTGTGTGTGCAACTGCGGGAGGGAGGGGAAGAATCCATTTCTGCAAGCTCAGATTTTGGGGGTGGGAGAGAAGGGAGGTGCGAGGTGGATTGGGAAGCAGGAATTTTGGCTAAAGGACCAAGAGGGCGCTCTCCCTCACTCTCTTCATTTCCCTCTCCTTAAGAACGGTCTCTACACCATCTCCAACTTTTGGGAATCCACCCAATGGTTCTCCGACGAAAAAGGCCCTCTCCAGGATCGCCCACTTCCATCCCATTTGTCCGGGAGGAAGACGTCGGCATCAGCCGAGGTGGAGCGCCGCCAACCCGCAACTGCAGCGGGCCGGGCACCTGCCTTCGGCTGGGTGGAGTCCTAGAGGAGCGCTTGGGAAGGGGCGGGTAGGAGAGGCGGCTTCGGGTTGGCCCAAAGGCACTCAGATGGTGGGGGTTGAGGAACGGGAGGCAGGGAATTCTACCCGGTATCTTGCTTGGGACTGGGTCGTGTGTGTGTGTGTGTGTGTGTGTGTGTGTGTGTATGTGTGTGATGCGCACTTCGTGCTCGCCTAGCAATTGCGCGCGCGTGCGCCCTACGTGCACACCCTTCACTCTCGCCACATCACACTAACGACACGCTTGGCAAATAAGTGGAGCCAGGATGAGGCTGAGTGACACCTTAAGTACTTTCGGTGTGACTGGATTATTACCCAGGGCGGTCGCTTCCAAGCCAGGAATTCAGTTAATTTTTTTTCTCTCCGCTAGGCTTTTCCAAATCCATATCCCCTGAGATGAAGGCGGGCAGGACCATATTTGATGAGTGGATTTTAATAAAAATAATTTCACAAGCTGGTCTCTGGGGTTCCCAGGGCCTGCATGTCCTCCCCTTTTCCTTTTTTTTGCAGGCTGCAACCTGGAGATCGACTATCTCTGGTAAAGCTGGAGGGGCTGGCGCCTGCGTCGCTCAAATCCTGCGGAGTTTGCAGGGTCAGAGGCTGAACACAGGAAGCTCTCTGGCTTCCAGGAAAGCGCGGACGCACTCCTCTCCTGCACTATTGCGACTGAAGTTTGCACTTCAGAAAGCTTTTGTTGGGGTGCTCGTGAGTCATGGAAAGGGACAGGAAGGGAGAAGGGGATTGTCCCCGTAACTAAACTACGCCAAATGAACATTGTTTAGTCAAGTTTTAACTCCTTTTGGAGAGAACTAATAGCCAGTTTGACGTCTTAGAACCCAAACTTTTATGTAGTTTATTTAACTGTTTTTTTTTTTTTTTTTTTTTTTTTTTTAAACTAAAGATCAGGTAACTTTCCAAAAAGAAACTCAGTCTAAGGGGGCAGAACTGTTCTGATCGAACAAGTAGCTGTGTCAATCATTTCAACCCTAGACTCCCGGAGTCGAGAATTTGGGGCGGGGCAACGCGGGGGCGGGGCTAACGGAGGCGAGGCTCCCAGTGCTTAGCTTTTCTGTCTCCGCCCCCTGAATTTTGCATTCGGCGTTTCCTGGGCCCTCTGCACTTGCTCCACACCCACTTGTGATCTGGTTTAAGAGATTGGGGATGGGGGATGGGGGGATTGCGGTGGGAGGAATTGTAGGGGTGAAGGTGGGGGTGGTGCCGAGAGTGTGCCTAGGCGACGAAGTTGAACGGTCTGAATTTCACATCCCCTTTTGCCTCCCAGCCCTATGTCCACCTTTCATCCTAGGTAAAATCTGAACTGAAAAGGGGGAAAAAAGGAATTAGATTCAGGAACGATCACCCGGCACAGAACACCAAACCCTTCCTTCCCACTCTTCCCCACCCCCACCCAGCGCCCCCGAGCTCCTAAAGTATTTTTTCCCTTTCTGTGATAAAATAAGTTATTTTGCAGTTAAATATATTTTACCATCTACCACAGGCAATCATCTTCAATCAAAAGCAATGGCTGTGCACATGGGAGGAGCTTCAGGGCTCCCACCCGAAAGGCATTAGCTACCAACGATGTGGGGGTGTCTGTGGTGTGTGTGTAGGGGTGGAGGGATAGAAGCGTCTGGAGGCACGGGGGTGGAGGGGCCAAGAGGGACAAAGGTGGCATTAGCTCAGAAGATGGGTAACGCCCCTCTCTCCAGGCCCCAATTAAAATAATATTTTAACAAAAGTGATTTTTTCCCCAAGTTTAGAAAACTACGTGTGCGGGGCCCGGGTGGGGGTGATGGAGGAGGGAGCTGATATTGTAACATGCACTCTTTGAGACTGGAATACGGTACCAGGGGATTTGGACCTTGTGACTGAATAGGAGCTCCGAGTCTGTATTCGGACAGAGCTGGGGTGGAGGAGGAAGCTGGCAAGGTGTAGGGAGGAGGAAGGAGAAAGAGCGAAACCTGGGGTAGCCTCGGCGAGACAGTTCCCCAGGGTAGCAGGATCCCCGGGGCTCCAATTCCGAGGTGCAGGGACCCTCCCCGACCACTCCCGAACTGCAACCCAGCTCGAAGCCACTTGCTGCGCAAAGCGCGCGGGCCCCGCCGGTCCCGTGTCCCCCACCCTTGCGCCGCGTAACTGACTGGCACACGGAGCGTGCTCACCGATCTTGACTTGCTCGCGGTAGCTCTTTTCGTTGAGGCAAAGCCCGCGGCCGTGCAGCAGGGCGTGCAGCGGCTTCTCCTCGTCCTGCCGGGGGAGGCAGCGCAGCCCCTGGGCGCAGCGCTCTGTGTAGACGCCGCACGACTGCCCCTCCGCCAGGGCGCAAGTCATGCAGCAGCCGCAGCCCGGCTCCTTGACCAGCTCGCAGCCCACGGGGCTGGGGGGGCACACGGATAGGGCTTTCTCGTCGCAGGGCTCGCAGTGCACTAAGGAGCCCAGGCTCTGGGCCCGGCCAGCACAGGAGGCCAGCAGCAGGAGGACCGCGGTGAGCAACACCATCTTCTCAGTCGCCCCCTTTACCTCCGGGTGGGGCAGGAGATCGACAGTGCAGGGGTAAAGGGGCCAAGAGGGCTCCCGGAGATTTTTTTTTGTTTTTGTTTTTGTTTTTTTAAATTTCTGGCAGGTAGAGCAGGTGCCCTCCCCCGAGACACTTGGAAAAATGTAGAGCGAGATGGAGGACTGGGGTGCCTGCGATCAAGTCCCGGTTGCAAGAATTAATAAAGCCTTGCAACAGGTTGGGGGAAGCAGGGCAGCGCCAGGTGCACGCAGCGAGCTGAGGCCGGAGAAACCCTCGAGCCTGAGCGGGTCAGAATTATAGGTGGAAAAAAGCCACAAAATCGTTCACCCCCAAGCAACCACCGAAATAATGAGCTCGGAGGCAGTGGGGATGGCGTTGGGGGTGGGGGAGAAAAATGGATTTATTTGGAAAATTTTTGCTTAAAATCTAAAATACACCGAGCTGCTTTCTAAACCTCAGCGGCCAGCGATGCGCGGCGCCGCGGAACAGGTAAGAGGCGTTGGCTGCAGCCGAGAGGGTGGGAGAAAATGTTGAAATCAAGAAAAAAAAAAAAAAAAAAACCCCAAAAACCTCAAACCCTAACACCTCTTTTCTCCCACTTTGCCACCTCCTCTTCGAAATTCGCAGGTTCTCCGCGAAGTCCGAAGGGTGAAAACGGAGGAGAGGGTAACCAAAAGGAGCAAAAAAGGAAAAAGCCCACACTGCTTTGCAGCTCTTTCCTAGCTCTTTTCCCCTGCAGAAGTTTCCAAAGAGACTACGGGGCTCCGGGCGAGCAGGCGCTTTTAAATAGCCGGCCCCTGGCTGCCAGCCAGTTTGTAGATGCAATTTGAGCTACCCAACACCCAACCCAGGCAAGGATGCCAAGGAGCTTTGCAGTACAAACTCACACGGCGTGGGGGTGGGGAGAGGCCTTCTAGACACAAGGGGGCTCCCCTTCGCTCCTGAACAGGGCCCTCCTCCCCGCGGAGTGTAAGGAAGGGGCAAGAGGGACAGGCTGGGGCTACTGAGAGTGGGGAGGAGGTGGAGGGGTTAGTGGAAGACAGGAGTTCTTCCGAGCAGGGTGAACACAATGAGGAGAGTAACTTGGTCTCCCCCTCCCTCCTTTTCCTTAGCTAGTCACGGCCCAGGTTGGAGGGAGATGTATTTTCTTGTTAGCCAACTGGATATATACCGTGCCCAAGAAATCTTCCTAAGCTTCTGCACTGGACTGTATGCTGGTGTCTGTTTCCATGTGGGGTGTGTGTGTGTGTGTTTGGGGGACAGGTAGTGTAGAATGACCAGTGATGGCTGGTGAGCTAAATTAAAAAAAAGAAAAAAATGAATTTATCTCCTAAAAGTCTGGAGAAGAGGATTTAATCAGGGGGTTTCTGTTACTCATGGTGAAGAGGTGACCCCTTTCCTTCAGCTTCGCTGGCCAGGGAGGTTCTCTCTCTCTCTCTCTTTCTCTCTCTGTGTGTGTACCTGCAGGAATGGACATTCATACAACAGCATTATTGAGAGCAGTGAGTTGCAGAGATGGACCCTCAGGAGGAAATGCTAAGTCTGCTGGCCTAAAGTGTCCTTGTGTGTGCAGTTCTTAGAGGGGAGAAAGGTGGATTGGAGTGACACTTCCCCCATGTCATTTTGCAGGGGTATTTCTATTGGGGAGGGCCACATCCCTGGAGGGAATGGGTGGTGGAGTATCGGGAGGAGAGCTTGTGATGGGTTAGCTGGTGCTTGCAGGCACATCCCAGAAGTATGACTGACAGGGCCACAGGACCTGCTGGGAAGAGGTCCTGACCAGGAACCTGATCATGCCACTAGAACCTCTTTCTTTAATAAAATGAAAGACAACTAAGGCCTCAAGAAAAGGAAGGTGGTGGTTTTAGCGTTTTCTGAAATTGACATGAGTGGGCCATGAACCTCACAGGGGGGTCAGAGAGAAATGACCAGTGTCACCTCTGCTGGGTGGACGTGGGGTGGGCTGTTACACCTTTTACTTTGTTCTTCCTCCCTTGAGAAGTACTCTAACTTTCCTTAGGAGAAGGGGCTGCATTTCATGATGTTTGCCACTAGACTGCACCCTTATCTATGATAAGAATTCTTTCTGGAGGACAGCGTTTAAGAAAATATTTTCTCTAGCTCGTTCAGTTCAGGAGCGTCTCACTTTATGTGGTTAACACCCCCAGATCCTGATCTCTCTTCTCACTTATCTGTTTGCCGAAAGGCATATTTTGAAACAGGCCTAAAGTTTAAAATTATGTCTTTGCCTGTATTTCCAAAGGGATTTTAGGTGGTGGCTGGGAGAGGGAGGAGAATTGAGTATAATGATTAAAACAAAAAATAGCAACAAGACTCATCTCAATTTCTTCTTTTCTCTGTCTGGGGGTTTGGTGAGGTAGGAACAAATGAATATTTAAAAGTTTGGTGGAAATATTTTAGGAGTGAGGGAGATCATGTGTTGTTTTCTCTTTTGTGTCAAGTTCAGACTACAAGAGTGGCAGCAGAATGTGTGCGGTGTGTTCTGTTCTCTGCTCCTATTTCTATCTGCACCACCTTAGCAGCTCTGCCTGCTCCAGGCACACTGGTAGCTTTGAAGATAAATGGGGGACATTGTGGTGCCTCTTCCAAAGAAATATGAGTTGCCTAGTTCCAGCCACCCTGTATTCTGAGAGAGATGGCCTCTAGTGACAGCTCATTTTGTGTAGCTGACTTCTAATGGCTGGATAATACAATATGAGAAGACAGGTAAAAGGAGGGGGGATGATTCACAGAAAAGATAAAAAGGGTAGAGAGACGTGAGGAGAAGAGTGTGGTGGAGTTGGATCCCGGGGCAGGGCGGCACAGGGGCCATGGAGAGAGGTTACTCTGTGAGACTGTATATGTTAGGCAGCTATTGTTTATCCCACAGAGAAATGGCCTTACATTATGAGGGATTCAGAGACTGAAGCATTGTCCAAGAGATTCTGGGATAGGCTTCTTGAGAGGGCATCGGAGAAAGAAGACTTCTCAGTAGCTGGGATTGTCTACAGTAATTTCATCCAAAGATGGAGGACTGGCCAGATGGGTTTTGCTGATGGGTCTATAATTAACATATGACAGTGGAGTGGGACAGTGTTGTTACCACAGGATACGGGATCATGGAGGATGCCTATGAGCCTTACTTGATTCTATTTTCCCCACAATCACCTTTAGAAAATCACTTCTAGAAAAAAAAAATAGTTTGCATCAACGAGAGTAATTGTGAGGGGATCATTAATTCCTCCCAGATACAAATGTTTCCTGCCTAGAGACCCTCTTTGCTGCCGGCTTGCTTTCACGGTCATGAGCTTTCCAACTCTGGCATAGACTGGCTTCTATACCTGTCAGCTGCATCTTTTCTGGGGAAGAAGTATGTTAAATATCAACCACTTGTGTCCCGTTTCCCCGGAGATCACCCCTCCTCTTTCCTTGAAAAGATTAACTGCTTATCAAAACCAACTTTCAAGAAGTGCATCTGAGAGAAAGATTTATGCTCTTTTATCAGGATAACTTTTCAAATGATGAATAGTGTTTTTATTTTATAAAGCCTTAGAGTCCTTACCTGTGATCATTTTCTGTGAGTTTCTGAGTAATTTTCAAGTATGATGCCTGATAACCCAGTTTGGGAAAGCTAGACTTTTTAGTAGGACACAAAGTTTTATGGATTCTACTGGTCAGATGGAAAAACATTAGCTAAGGGTCTCATCTTCATTCTCTTTTCTGTGTTGCTCTCACCACTCTCTCAGACAAGCTTATTTATATAATTTCCTCAATTTTTAAAGACCTCATGATATTAGCTTCAGTCTCTCCCAGAGGCCAACACGCATCAAGAATACTAATACTGCGGCCATGTTGTCCTGGTTCCAAGCCAAGGTACAGCGATGTTCAATGTAGAAAGTACCCAGTTGTTCAGGTCCTTCCCTAGATCTTGGAGATTCAGCAAGACTGGGGTCTGTGAAAAAGAGCAGCATGAGGCAGCTTTGTTGCAGTGATGTTGCTGAAGGCTAGGTGGCAGGATAGATACATCATTAGAAACAACCCTCCTTCCATGAAGGGAAAGGTAGAAGTCTTTCACAATGGGGACAGGGGAATGGGGGAAGCAAAAGTGTGGACGGAGGGACATGTATGGCCACCATGTGGGTCCACTTATGTGCCCCGCCAGTATCGGCACTGCCACTGATGCCCCAATGGCACCGGGCCAGCCTGAGGTGCAGAATCCTCTGTGTCCCACCAGGCGCTATGTTCATGATTACTTTACTTTGGAGAAAATGTATGGCAGGGTAGGAACTTGATGACTTTGCATTTGTCAAAGGGTGTCCTAAAGCTTCTCTGATGAATAATTAGAAGTGATCTTAAGCCACAGTTCATAAAAATTCCCCCTGTTAAAAAAAAAAGGTAATTATGGTATATTTCAAACATTCAAAGAACAGAAGATAGTAGAGCATGTACCCTCTACTCCCTACATTTTTAAACACATGTTCACTTTTGCCACTGTTGTGGAAGATTGTTTTTGTTGTTTTGTTTTATTTATTTATTTATTTTGAGACAGAGTCTTGCTCTGTCCCCCAGGCTGGAGTGCAGTGGCATGATCTCAGCTCCCTGCTACCTCCGCCTCCCAGGTTCAAGCGATTCTCCTGCTTCAGCCTCCTGAGTAGCTGGGATTACAGGCACCTGCCATCACGCCTAGCTAATTTTTGTAACTTTAGTAGAGACAGGGTTTCACTGTGTTGATCAGGCTCTTCTTGAACTCCTGACCTTTCGATCTGCTTGCCTCGGCCTCCCAAAGTGCCGGGATTACAAGAGTGAGCCACCATACCTGACCTAATTTTTGTATTTTTAGTAGACATAGGGTTTCACCATCTTGGCCAGGCTGGTCTTAACCTCCTGACCTCATGATCCACCTGCCTCGGCCTCCCAAAGTGTTGGGATTACAGGTATGAGCCATCGCACCCAGCCGAAGATTTTGTTAAAAGAGAAGTAGAGTGGGATAGGTAACAGCTCACTTCCCATGCATGCCATCCCTGCATCCTCTTCCCTGGACAGAGGTGGCCACTGTCCTGAAATAGCTCTGTATCCTTCCTGCACAATATTTTTCTGGGTTTTATGTGAAGTTTCTCATAGAGCAGAAACTTCACATAAAAAATTACAGCGATTTTGAGGGTGAGACCACGTGCTACTTTATTAATTTTGTAGTGGTGCTTGCAGTGGTGGCAATTTAACTAGAGTCTAAATTGACCCTGAGGCTGGCTGTTAAGGGAGCGGGAGCCAGCTGTGACGCACCGTGATTTATATCCTGATGTGAGCCGCACATAAGTTAATAGCTGCACGAATTGATGTTTAGGAGGCTTCTGGAGCAGTTCTAGACAGATAGGGCAGAGCAGGGCAGGCTCCATAAATACTGTTTCTGGTTGGAGTCCTGCTGTCTTCTTGGATCATGGGATCTGGCATGTTCCTACAATGGACCGCTCAGAAGCTGTTTCAATTTTGGAAAATGAGATTAACCAGGAAAAGTGATCTGTTGTGACTTAGAGATGGTGTTGGTAGCTCCCAGATCTAGGAGGGAGAGAGGTAGGGCAGGCAGAAAAGCTGGAATCCCATAGAAAAAGAGGAGAGAGAGAGTGTTAACTGCCTGAAGCAGGTTTAATGTGAACCATGGAAAGGCCAAGTAAAATCACGGTGCATGGTTAGCAACTGAGATTTCACACAGTACAGGAGGGAGAAGTGGTAAGAGCTAGCTTACCACTATTAGTGCATAGGGTAAATCTGTGTGAATTAGGAAAAGATGACCTTCCTCAAAA